CGCTCCGCCCCCATCATATATGCCAATGATCACTCTCCAAACATTTTTTTATTTAAGAAAAAGATCTGAAACCTCCCAACAGCATGTGAATAAAGTCATATATACAGATGACATAGAAAAATACATTTTTTATAACTAACTTTTAATGTCATGTTATATAGCAGACACATATTTACAAGCATACAGAGGACAAAACAAAATGGTATTTAAAAAGGAAACCTGCATAAAGCTATACACCAACTGTCTTTATCAACATTAACATCCTTTTGGAGTACTCCAATATGTTACAAGATTTTATAGCTTATCAAAGACAGAATGCAGAAAATATGTTAGATAGTTAAAACTTCCTTTGTCAATGTCACTGAAGAGTCAAAAGGGCTCTGTATTTAGATCTTCAAGAAACAACATCTTATCTGCAAGATGGTTACCACATTTTCGCCCAAAAGTCTAAAGACGTTCATAACAGTGCATTGGAACAAAGTAAAGGTTCATTCCATGCTGAAAAGAGAAGAAAAGAAACAACAGCCGAAACATATTTATTTTCTTCTCTTTTCAGCATGGAATAATCACTAACTTGTTCCTTTGCAGCCTACGCATGCTGAGGCAGCTACCTACTTTTAATGAGACATCCTGAAATTTTGCTTGCCGTCTTTATTGCCTCCACACATTGTCTAAAGGCATTCAGCATGTGAACGCCGCTGTGACCACACGTTAAACATATCAAGAATTCACACCCTACCGGGTTCTTGAAGAGCGAGATGAAGTGGGGCTTGTGTTTCTTCAGCATCAGGTCCAGGAGATGCACGGCCTCTGGTTGCCTCCTCCAGATGGCACTGACCACTGTCTCCCAGAACTCTTTGAACGGCCCCCACAGACTGGCTCCTAAAAGGGGCAGAGGAGGTCAGCTCAGGCCAAGCAAAACCCATCCCCATCAGCAGGAAGTACACCAACTAACACCTCTCTCTTCGGGAGAAAAAACTAGACATCTACTCAAACAAACAAAGTACTGAAAAGACAGTACTTGTGCACGTTGTATTGTAATAATTACCAAACAGGTGCCTTTTTAATATTTTTAATTTAGCGCCCCTAACAATAAAAGGTTAATTCCTAACAATAAAAAAGCTGTGCCACATTCCAAACATTTTCATCTGCACTGCATCACCTATTCTTTGCTAATCCTATGTGCTTTATTCAAATTAATATATGGTTAACTATGTATGGAAGTCAAAGGTGAATTAATTTACGTTCTCCATTTTTACTTCAGAAGAACAGCTTGTGAATTAAGCTGACAGTACGAGACTGAAACAACAAGTGTCTTAATATCAGAAGTGACCTGAGAAGGAAGTAGATGCATCTTGCCCTGATAGGATTGAACTTCAAAAACATTTCCTTGTTTTTTCAATGTTAATTGAAAACAGTGATTTGTAATTAGGGATACAGCTGTCTTTTCTGTATCATGTGTGTAGACTTTATATTGTTACAGCTGTAGGTGACTTAGATTGGTCTCAATATTCAATGTATTTTTATTCACATTGCATACCTTAATATTACCACCCTGTAGCCTGATTTATCTGATAGCAAAAGCTAGACAAGGAACTGGGCTGTTGGTTTGAATTTACAAACCAACACCCCAGTATGGTAAATATGGTAAATACTGTCTATGCAAAATCTTGGGTTTGCAAAATCTCAATTACCTAAAGTTTTTACTTCATTCAAATTAAGCGATTTCTCACTTCACCACCTGATCTTCTATTATGTGCAGGCTTATTACACAGTAATTTTTTGCCTTCTATAATGCAGAGTCCCATTACTTTATGCAAAACTGAAATGCAGCACCCACTTATTTGATCATAATTCTGATTAAGTAATAGAAGTATTAGAACACCTAATCATTTTAGACTTTTCGCCATCTCCCTTGAAACAAAATATCCATCCATTTTCTAACGTCTTTTTCCAATATAGGGTCGCAGGGGAGCTGGAGCCTATCCCAGCAAGCAACGGGTGCAAGGAGGGATACACCCTGGACTGTGAGGCAGCAATGCAAACCACCCTGAATACAAAATATTTCATGGAATTTTCCCTTGTGATGTGAGCAAAATATAAGAAAAATATTTATGGAACAATCTTCAGAACGTCATCCGAAATTACGCTTTGTAAGATTAAAAACATCAGAGCACCATGACAGTCTTCTTTCTGTGCGTACAATGTACTCAAAGTATACATATCTGTGCATCTCTCTCGTTCTTTTATTCAGACATTCAGTAAAGATACTACAGACATTTAAAGTGTATTTTGCGTATACAGTAAACCATCAATTTACCGGATTTAAAAACAAATACTACATAGTTTTAAAATTCAGGAACGTCAATGGTGCTCTGTAGGAGTAAAGTCAATTGCTTATCTGTTTTTCGTAAACTTTAGCGAATATTATAACGTATACGCATGATTTATTAAATGGAGCTTGTATATTTAGGATCAAAAATGTCAAAAATAAGACAAACTATTCAGATAAAACGTATAGTACAGTTTATATGCATACATGTGTGTCTTGGGACAGAAAAACGTCATAATTGATCTGACAGACATTCGTCAATTAAGGACACCCCTTTTCCCCTCTTGTTAGTCCGTTAATCCGAGGGTTTACTGTACATACACATAATTAATAGTACTAATTTAACAAAATACAAGGAACAAAACATTTAACTGCAACAAAAATGATTCCCCTCGCGTGCTAACAACGCGGTTCTATATTCAAGCCTCAAATCGCACAATAAAGAAATGCAAATTCTTAAGAATCGTACACAATCAAGACAAGCGGTCCCGTGCAAGAATAATGGCATTATAGTGAACTGTCAGCAGGTGTCTAAATTCATCCCAATACATTACTTAAGAATACATACAGTACGTTGTCAATCTCCACTGACCAGTTCATGTCGTTACAGTGATTTCTCACTGACGCAAAACCATGCGTCAAGTTGTTCAGAGAATACCCTAATCTATCCAAATAAAAAAATGCACCTTTTCTAAATTTCACATTCAGTACTGGCAAAACTCTAAATAAAGCGAATAACGCTACGTAATTTTCTTAATTACGACTGACAATACTGGCGTTGTTTCTGTTATTGTTTTATATGAATCATTAACAAATCAGGTGAAGTACAATGCAAAAACATAAATAAATATCATCAATCACAACCACACAACCAGCAGGATTAGTTTCAGATTCGTTTCAAAATAGCTCAACGCAAAACTTCCGTCAACAGCAAAGAGGCACTTCTCCCGATCACATCTAGCTACTTTCCTATCCCGACACGAAAAGATGTCCTATTTGAACGACTGTGGGGCGCATGCATTTGTTCTTCGATTGTATTCTTAAGCTTTCTTTTAACACCGCTTCTGCAATAGCATGGCTCATCACAAGAACTAGTGTGCCCATGCAACACAAGAAATGCTGCCGGTGGTATTACTGGTCGCTTTTTCTATAAATATTTAACAGTTATACGAAAATGTGTGTTATATATTTAAGACGCACCGTTATTACGGACTGTTTTTATTACTTTATGTCCTTAATATGATTATTTAATACATATATACATTTTAAAATGAATATACCTGAATTTACCGCCATCTGCGCAGCCATGTTGGAGTCAACTCAGGCTCTATAGACAAGGGGTGTCTCATGCATGCCTGAGTAAATATAAAAGCTATATTCTTAAAGCTGTAGTGTTAAAATATTTATTCTTCATTGGTGTTTGTTTTCATTTGTGGACAACGAAATAATTTTCCACAGGGAATCAAAGGCATATTTTACAAGTAAACATAATTTGTTGCTCGTTTCTAGTACCATTCTAAATTTCTGTTCAGGCGGGGTCCAGTATGAATGTCGGAAGAAAGATTAACACGTTTTTTATATCGGGAAATGTAGTCTTCTCCGGCTATAAAAAAATGCTTTATCAATTCTGTAGATTTATAATGCGTGTCTTACAACAAAAACCTATTCAGGCTTTGGTGTGCTTTAGAAAGAAGATATGTTTATATATATATACATTGTTTATATGCGTGTCTGTTTTTGTTTAAAACATAGGGGACATAAATAAGTCCCCTATAAATGACAGAAGAGCTGTGCTGACATTTATAGTGAGACTAATGGATATTTTATTACACAAAAAAAGATTCCACACGCTTTCAATTCACTGTATGTAATAAACAGACTGTACTTCGAAAAAAAACAATTTTGTATTCGTTGTCTTCATGACATAAAACCATAAGCGCTGATTTGTGTACCGTGCCTACAGTGTGGGAACTAAAGAAATATTTCCGGCGCATGGGGACTGTTTTAGCTGCTGCACTATTAGAGGTTGCATGTGAGAACGGAGTGAGCTGTGGGGAAAGGGCAATTGTTTGTTTTTAATGTCTTGATAGTGTTATATTTAGATAGGGTGTTGACGGAGTTGTCTGGTGACAGGTCACTAACTTCCTCCTCATGGCACGGGTGCTGAAAATCTTGCAGACCTTGAGAAATCACTGGAAGAAGTCTGTATTCGGGGTCTGTGTGGTATCCTACGGTGGACACTGGCTCTATGGAAAACACTGGTACATAGCTACTGTGCAATAATTTATCATGTTATACAAAAGACGTGTATAATATATCGGAATCTGGGCATATTTAGAATTTGTCTTAAAATTCGTATTGTTTAACAAAGTAGGGGTCTTAATGTCCTTGTTTGCTCAGCTCGGTTATATCTGGGTGCAGTGACATTCGACCCTAGAACAATTAGTACGTTAATTGCCAAGCACTTATCTAAAACAATGTTAATATGATTGTGCTGCTAATGTGCAGCATTGTTTGCAACACATATGTAACATTTTTGTAAAAAGAAATCCCAGATGTATTAAAAACATCTGCAGAATGTAAAAAAAAATGTACCGGTTTCCTCATTTCTGAATCTGTTCTTTCTAGCGACAATCTTTTGCGGCGGGCAGCCTGTCAGGAAGCCCGGGTAAGAGATTCTGTATGTATTGTGTGTACATTTCTGTTTTTGTGTGTTGCATGTAGTTGTGATTGGCTTCGTGTAACGGTTATGGGAAGCATCCTGTAAAGCTAGACAATAGGTATGGATATTACTCTGCAGAAGCATACAACTAGTCTAATGGAAACAACAAGACTAGCTACAAACATTAAGTTGCTGTTTTGGGTTCTGTACTTACATATTGGCACTAGAAAAGAAACAGTGTTATGGTAAAGAATACACTAGGTTTCTGCTTATTTGCTTTTTGCTGCTGTAGATATGAATGATGTTGAACTGTATCACTATATCTGCTTTTTAAAAAAATTATATAATAAAAGAGCAGATTACATGAAGAACAGAAGGATACAACACTTACTATTAAGTTCTTTCAAGCCATAAGCAATTTATCTTTAGTTTTGCTTTAACTAATTGTTCTGGGAAAATAAATAGATGGCATTAATCAATTTGGATGAACTAGTGAAAATAAACAAAAAATATAAGAAAACATGTAATAATGAATAATAATACAAAATAATCTTGGTCATCACAATTTGTAAGTTATTTTTGCAACAATGAAAAAAATTCCAGGTACAGTTTTCTCCCCCCCCCCCCCCCCTCAAAAATAACCAGCCAGCACTGTCAAGACTGATGTCAAAGCTGTGTTTTTCTTTTCTAGGAGTATGGTCACCAGGGGATTCCTGCACATGTTCAAGTTAAAAAAGCCACTGTGATTCTCAACCCTGCAGCTTGCAGCGGGTAAGATAAAGGGACAATCATGCCAAACTACGGAATGCATTTGCAGAAGTATGAACTACAATTCCTTGCTTGTTAGCTGCACGACATTTTAAGCATCTATCTGGGACTTTTCCTTTCCAGAAAAGCCACCAGCCTGTTTGAGAAAAATGCAGCCCCCATTCTGCACTTGGGTGGCATGGAGGTTACGCTTGTAAAGGTATGTAGGTTTTTCTGGTCATCGTATTAAAAGTCTCTGCATTTCTAAAGCTCACTGAGTTTCGGCATGTCAACACGTCTGCTGCTTTGGTCTCCCAGACAGACTATGAAGGCCAGGCAAAAAAGCTGATGGACCTGATGGAACATACTGATCTCCTCATTGTGGCAGGGGGAGATGGGACACTACAGGAGGTACAGCACAGTGTTTCTAATCACTTGCATTTACTGATGGACCTGATGATGCTCCTTATCCATCAAGTCACTTATTCCTGGTAGGAGGGGAGCAAATCAGGAGGCACATGGAGAGGCTGCTTTCTGGATGGGATGCCTGTCCATTGCAGGCACACAGGGTCATTTTAGAGGCACTAGTTAACCTGGCCAGCATTCATTTGGACAGGAGAAGGAAACCTGAGCATCTCTAGATTGCAACATTTGAAATGTGTAGACTCCACCCAGAAGGCTTTCCAGTCTTGAATCAAGCCCACGCCCCCCAAGTATTAAAGCTTGCAAAAATGTTTTTGACTGTGCTTAATTTTTTATTCTGCAAATATTCCAAGCTCATCCAAATACTGTATGTCTACAAAAGGATGAATATGTTAGCTACAGCTCATTTGAAGGTGTCTTTTAGACATTGAAAACATGTCTGATAAAGTCAGATGAAGAATTGAATTTGAAAGGGCGGTTTTAGGAAAGAGTTCTAAAATTTTGCATTGTTCAACATGGTTACATGTGGCAATAGTTATGTTCAACTCAGCTAAAACAACATAAAGAATTAAATGTTATAATATGCATCTTGCAGCATGTAACCATGCTGAGCCAACAAGCACACTGACCCCTTTCTTAGACAATGCAATTTTTAAAATGCATTTCCCATTTCCCTTTCAAATTTAATTATTCATGTTGTCTATAGAGTCTTAAGAGTTTTGATCAATTTTGTAAAAAATAATCGTTTCAGACATCACATATCATATGTGTCACATCTTAATAATGCACAGAAGGTCTTTCACTGATCTTCATAAGTAACGGGGATGTCTTGATGAGTCTGAAAAAATATTTTAACTCTGTTACAGGCTGATTATAAAAAAACTGCCAGCACATGATTGTGAAAAATAACATGACAGCCCTTTATTTTCCTCTCCAGAAAATTAAACTCATACTAACAGAAGAAAGATTGTTCACTTTGGCTCTGTTTGGCTTCCACTGTCAGCTCCAATGCTGCTTTGCTCGGCAGCTTTTTCTGGCTCTTTGTCCATTTTCTGTTTTTGTCTCTCACGTTTGTTCGGATTCTGTGACTCCCTATGAGTCTGAAAGGTTGGCTTCTCTGGTCATTTCTTAGCTACCTTGCGCATCTGCTAACAGTTAGCACATTTAAATAGAGAGGAGCATTTAAAAAAATCAAAATCACTGACCTGTTTCGTTACTTCTTTTTGTAGGTGATAACTGGCCTTCTTCGGAGAGCTGATCAGGTGAGGATGGTTTGAGATTGAGCTGACACTAAAACACACACATCAATGCTTTGAGACAGTCACTATTAAGCTGAATAAAGGAAGCTCTATAAATTTGTGCAATGTGTGATGCGACTCAGCATATGATGCATTAAAGAGGTGAATGCCAAAACCAATATAAAGGATTTACTTCAGCCAACCGTGAAGAGTGAAGCAAGTTTAGCATGTGAGTAGATGTCACTATAAGGAAGTGAGGTGACATCAAAACTCATCCCCTGCTGTGATACAGAAAGTATTCTGAAAGCAAACCCACTGTCAAAAATCAGTGATGCATCCATGACTGTGCTGTAAAAAAGGTTGATCCTAACTATGAAAACATTGTGGAGAATGGAGATCTTTCTAGGTGCGAAAGATGATCACTTATCATAAATTGTATGCTGCTCAACACTGGGGTGCGAATTTGCATTAGAACAAAATGAATTCATGTGGGTAATGCATGATTTTTAACAGTTTACATCATGTTTACGGAAGCTGTGAGTTACGTTTACCATGCTATAAGACTAATGAAAGTTTTTTTTTTCCAAAGGCTTCCTTCAGTAAAACGCCAATTGGTTTCATTCCCCTGGGTACCCATAATTCCCTGAGTCACGTTCTGCACCCTCACAGTGACAACAGAGTGAAGTGAGTATCTCAAAGCCTAGACTTAAACAACCCCTGACCAAAATCATGTCAGTTCTAATCTTACTGTTCACTTTTAGTGTTTCTCTCCTGGTCCTGAGTGCTTTCTTCCCTTGCACTGTGGGTTTATTTTTGGTTTGGTAAAAATTGTCAGTAGTACTTTGCTGGTCAGTCTTGATAGGATTAATTAAACGGGAAACTAAATTTGACAGATTATATATGAGGTTACACTGGAGTATGAATTACTTTCAGGGCACACGTGTTGTCATTGTTTCAGACACATCACTGAGGCTGCTCTCTCAATCCTGAAGGGAGAAACTGTCCCTCTCGACGTGCTTCAGATAAAGGTGAGACAGAGCTAAATGTTCCAGCCTCCACAGTTTGTCAATTACACTGAGCAAGCTCTAGACAAAGTCTGAGCGTCATAGGGTTTTCAATGTTTTATACTAGAGCCTAATGCCCACTCGCTGTCTGTTTTGTTCACTCTAGTCTTTGCGTAAATATTTTGACAGGTCATGGTGGGACGGCAGGAAATTCCAAGCCTCACTGTTGTAAAAATTGTTGTTTTACACAGCTCAGTCCAGTAACCTTTGACCAACTTTATTTAGATTAGGTAAACCAAAGCAAAATACAGTAACTATCAAACAAAAAGCAAGTGAACAGTTGAACTTGCTCAGAAGTAACAAATAAATCACACTGAAAAATGAACAAATTCAGAAGTGCAGCATAAGATGTTTATATTTTATTATTTAGTGTTTATTGCATCTTATGTAAATTGTATTTTCAGATAATTTCATGCATTGGTTGAAAGGTCATAAAATGCCAAACTTGATACACAGGACAAAATGAAATAACACTCCACTCATATATCCATGTCCTTCGCAGGGGGAGAGAGACCAGCCTGTTTTTGCATTGACTGGGTTGAGGTGGGGAGCATACAGAGATGTAACAGCCAACGTTAGCAAGTAAGCCGTGGAATTTATTAACTGATCCTAAAGCAGCGGAAAACTAGCCATTTCTCCAATAGCTGGATCCTGACAGCCTGTGCAAGTTGTTTTTTTTCTTGTTCAAATTCAGTGTAACCAGTCATATTCTGAGCATAAGAGCACCAAGCACAAAAGCTTTAAAATGCAAAATTAAAAGGCCTTTGCATTTGTAGATTTTTATATTTTTTATACTTATCTTTTCTATCTTACATCTTCATGTATATTTTATTGTTTTTAATTGTTTACCATCTCAGATATTGGTACCTTGGTCCTTTAAAAACAAAGGCAGCTCATCTTTTCAGTACATTGAAGGTAAGGTGGTGTTGCTTCTTTTTTTCTTAACATACAGTATTTATGTTTAGTGTATATAGTACAGTTCAAGTTTATTGTCATTATACTCATATACAAGTATATGGTATACTGAAATGCTATTTAGCTAGCTCTAAGATGATAAGTAGTACAAAAAACAACAATACAATTGTATAGTAAAAGAAAGACAGAGACAACAGGCAGTGTGCAAAACAACAAAAGGTAATAGGTAATGCGCAAAAGATGTGCAGAATGAAATAAAGGATAGATAATTATGGTGAGTGAGCTTCTTGACATGTGAGGTAGAGGTAGATTTTAATGTGTGTTTGAGTTTTTGGTAAGAAAGAAGGGACTGTGAGGTTCAGATCGTAGGTAAGGGAGGCTGGGAGTTTAATAGTTTGATAGTGCAGAGGTAAAAACTGTCTGTGTCTGGTAGCCCGGGCCCGAGTGCTCCGGTACCGTTTTCCAGATGGTAGAGGGTCATACAGTCTGTAGCCGGGGAAGTACAGGCGCTGTTGCGCTTTCTTGATCAGACAGGTGGCGTTGAGAGACCATGTGAGGTCCTCAGTGATATGGACGCCATGGAATTTGAAGTTACTGACCCTTTCCACTTCAGTTCCGTTGATGTGGATAGGGGCATGTTCATTTTTCAGTTTCCTGATCAACACTTTTTTAATGAGTTTTCCTTACGTACTCTTAAATCCTGATACAAAGTGTAGTTACATTCATACTGTAGTGCAAATATCAGGAGGTGTCTGTCAGAACAGCATACTTAGTCAGAATTCAGACAACCAAACGGTAGACAATAAGACCTTTAAAGTTAGGTGTTGGCTGAAAGATTCAATGTCTGTTTGTTGTCTCATAATAAGGAGTGGCCACAAAGTCATGAAGCCACTTTGACCTACCAAGGCCCTACTCCTCGACCCCCAGAAGAGTCCACCGACACCCCTGTCCGTCCGCCACTGCTCACCCGAATATTCAGCAGGCTGGCACTTTACTGGGCACCTCCCAAGGAAGGTAACATGGGGAGGAGGGCGAGATATTGCAAGATGAGTCATACTAGCTGTTTGTACTGAAAGGTGAAATCATGTTTAATCAACATTAACAATCATTGGTGATGGAACTTTCCACTACTCTTTCTGTTCCGTATAATTAGAGGTGTTACTGCTTCTTTCTCTTGCTAATAAATTGATGGATACACACAGCTAAAGATCAGAATCCAAGTTAAAAGTCACAAAATTTGTCCTTACATAAAAGGTGCATATTTTGTATGTTTGTTATAGTCGAGTAGACTGATTTAAAAAGGAAGTGCAATGCATTTGAATTGAAATATTTTAAGAATAGCTATCAAATTCACAGAAAACGTGAAGAATCAGCATCCCTGAGATGTTAACATGATCATCACGCAGAACTGATTTGGGTATGGAGAGAAACCTGTAGGATGTTCCACCACTCTTCCAGTGTAGCTGCAGCTAGCTGGTGAAGTTTATCCAATTGCCAGTTGTCTATTGTGATTGGGGAACTACTTCCCCAAATCTTCTATGAGACTAAGACCAGGAGAAAAAGATGGTCACAGCAAGACCATGCTCTTGATTTCTTGAAGTCATGCCATTGCGATCAAAGCTTTCTGTGGCTTGCCACTTGTCCTGCTGGAAAATCAACATTCTTGGACTGACCGGAAGGAACAGAAAACTGGATCCCTCAGGGATGTTGTGGCTCGTAGCTCTCTACATGTTACTCCTGAATAGCCTTTGATCGTGCAGATCATTTTCATTAAGAGGGAGAGATGCATTGATTTTGTTGATAGCAAGTTATAATTAGAACATGGGTGTTCTCATTAGTTCTGTCAAATATTTAATATGTAGCAGCCTATGTGTTTGGTAAATTATACATATATACTGATGGAAAAAAGAAACGCAACATTTTCTGTAATGAGAATACTATAGTTATGCGTATGCGCATTGCAACTTGCCAATTACATGAAAGCTCGTTAGGTGCAGTTTTACCCAACAAGGTCAGCTTTAAAAAGGCCTTAATTCAAAGCTTAGGTCACTGCAAGAAAAAGACCAAACTCCATCAGTTTTCTGTGCATTCTATAATGCCTCGAATGTCACCAGAACCAAGGGACAGGGCCATTGGCATGCTGCAGGCAGGCATGTCATGTGCCAACATTGCCAGACACTATGTAGTAAGCTGCTCCACTGTGTCCTGACTGCAGAGAAGGTTTCAGCAGAACGGCACGACAGATGACCGTCCAAGATCCAGTCGCCCTCGAGTGACCACACCAGAGCAGGACCGACACATCAGACTGGTCCATCTGAGAGATCGTTTCAGATCTGCCACTTGTACTGCTGCTGAAACTACTGGCAGACACAATGCCCACATCAGTGACAGGACAGTGAGGCTCCATGCTGCTGGCCTTAGGGCAAGGCGACCTGTCAGAGGCCCTCTGCTCACAGATCCTAGACGTCACACTAGACTGGCTTGTGCCAGACAGAGGCTGCAATGGACCCGTCAGCAGTGGTATCGGGTCCTCTTCACGGATGAGTCACTCTTCAGCCTGTTCCACGCAGATGAGAGGGCCAGAGTGTGGAGGAGGAGGTGTTGCATTTCTTTTTTCCATCGGTATACATTACTGAATGGATCTGTCAAGGCTCACTCTGATCCGTCATGCACATATTAAACTGGGAAGTGCTCAGGCAGCCTGGGAATGCTGATTGAAAATCTGTCTCTCCTCAGAGCTTCCACAGGAGGAGGAGCCAGAGCCCTGGGAGAAGATGGATGTCTCTGCTGTGGAGCTGTCGATCAGTACTCAGAACAAAAACCCGGACCTCAGGGTGAGATCAGGGGATTGTGCGTGTTCGCTGTTAGATTGGAATGATCCTCTCAAGAACTGAGTCATGGAGGATCACAATTCTTTTTGCTGATTTTTCAAAACAGACAAGCAAACAAAATGTCCAAAAATTGAATCTTAAAAGGAAAAGGGGGGGTGCCTAAACAAGTCTTTCAGAAAAGGCATCTGATCGTGCTGTCCCCTTTTTTCTACTTGCATTGTAACCTAGCTTTCCATAAGAACATTTTCAGCAAAAGGAATACAATCATATGCAGTCTAAGGTAATCTTAGTCTCCTCCCAGTCATATAAGATTTTTTAGCTACCGTTGGAACCAGCGATGAAAGCTGTAATGCCAAAAGATTGGTCACAATCAGTGGCAACTATCAAATAACAAGTCCAGCACTACAGTCACATCCAAGAGCATGTCAGTACCACGTATCCAAATGCATTCCAGTACAGAACATCCAAAAATGTGTAAGTATGTACTAGTTACACCCTACACACATCTGAGACAGGGGAGATCAGGAGTAGTGTTTGCCTCTGTTGCAGTGATGTTTTGTGCCCCTTTATGCCCTGTGATTTGGACTGGCCTGTCCAGATTACACCTGCAACCTTGTCTGAAGAAGATGAAGACAGAACACTTGCGCCCCACCAGATGTGCACATATTGCTTTTTCTTACCTGCATTGTAATCCTGAAAAAAAAAACAGAATCAGATCAATGTTCAACAATGATCAGGGTGGGTGACAATGTAAAGTTTGCCCACTCAGCTGGGCCACACCGAGTGACACTAGTGTGAGGTCAGCTGAACTGTTTCCCCTGACCACTGACTCCATCCAATGCCATAGTCCCACACGTGAGTCTGTGGGCTTGCAGAGTGCAGAGGAACAGGTGATCTGACGGTTTGCATGTTTTTAGAGTATTCATGCTTCCTGTCACTCCTGGACTAGCATGATGATAACTAGCTGGTGGGAGGCCTTAGTCATTTCAAACACGGGGTGGAGAAATGAAGACATGATCACTTTTCTTAAGAAGCAATTTGTCGTCTTTTTCCTCGCAGCGCACAGAAGACGCTTTGGTGGTGTGTGTGGAGCCTGACACACTCAGCAAAGGGGAATTCATTTCTACTGGGTAGGTATCTCAGAAAACCAGGAAAAAATATTTGGTAAGAATGTGAAATACCACGGTTTATGTAAAGATAAAGCATTTATTGTCTCTCTTGCCCCTGTGGTCTGTCATTTTTAAAGGTAAAACAGGAACAAACCTAATCTGTTTCTTTTTGCCATGTTAGAATTAACAAGATAGACTTTGGATAAAATGTGCAGGGAGGTCAAACCCGAAAATTCAAATTCAGAAATCTGGTACGACAGTGTGGATTGACTGACTGGGGATGTAGCTTACAGGTCTTTTTTGCTGGACTTTTGTACTTTTCAGCATGTTTAAAAAATTCTGATCTTAAAAGACCTAATTCGGGCCGTAAGTCATAGCAAGTCAAAGCCCACGTAGTACTTACATTTCAGTATGTACATTTCACATATTCGCATATAGATTCCTGTGGCTTAAAAAAGAACATGGCAAGAGGCTACAAATGAGAGAGTGTCACCTAGCCCATCTGGCTCATTTGGTTGTTGGTAACGAAGTGATTCCGAGATTTTTTGAATGAAACTTTGACAGTATGATTGAATAATCATTTTCATAGCTTCTTCAAGCTCAGCTTCCCACCTCATAAAGTTTGTGTCTGCCCAGTCTTGTATTTTGTTAGATTAGTTTTGAACTGAGATTGAAGTTCAGGGTATTTGCTCCTATTTTATCGTCATTGACTTGGATTAGTTTATTAACAACAAAAGAGCCTAAATCACAGATGTAATTTGAGAAGAGCAGTGTTCACAATACAGGTTTCTGTGTTATTCTCCTAATTACATCAACCCAATCTGAGCATCCATTTCTTATCCGTACTATATCTTATCCATTAGTTAAGTTTTTTTTCCCCAAAGATCTTGAAATTCTACAGTCTGTAATTTAAGAATCATTCTATTACGAGGAGCTTTATCAAAACCTTTCTGGAAATTTTAATATACTACAATACATCATATGCTCTTTTAGAATCCACTACTGCTGTTTCTTTCTCAAAGAACTCCATGTCTATCTTAGCAGGAACCAGCAATCTGTTTCCCAACTAAACAGAATACTCACTTAACAATTAAAAACCAATGTTTGACAATGACAAATTAGTAAATTAGTAAAATCGCTTATAACAAGACTTACACTTTTCTAGCACAGTGTAAGATATTGATGAAATTAAGGTTAGGTCATCTGCTGTTTGCACATAGCAGGAGGTTAGAAGGATTTGCGATATTCCTGAGAAAATATTTGATTTATGATATTGAGCCAAATGCATTCATGGACAAGGAATTGTGTTAATGACAACTCTGAAAAGTGGTGTTATTCCAGGTTGATACAAGTTTATTTTGCCCTTCATAAATGTTTATACAAAGCGGATCTCAATTGTGTTTTAGAAGAGAAACTAAGCTCCTGGAAGCCTTGTGTCTATTAGTTTTTGAAATTATGGGTAGTCAATGAAACAATTATTTATCAAAAAGCAGAAGCCACTCAACCCATTAGGAATCGAGTTTGATAGAGTTTTAAATTATTAAATTGACGTAAACAAATCAAACTGTTTACTGTAGCAGACAACAATAAAGTAATAAGCTGCAGAGCAAACACTGAGGGAAAGGCAGGCATGAAGGAACTACAGTATCATGGTGCAAAAGTGGGGGAAACTGAAGGAGAGGCCAAGTTTCCAGGCATCAGCCTGAAAGAGTCACAGAGCTGTGACAGCATCTCCCTGGGAGCTGATCTGTAGAGCCGGAGCTCAGCTGGCTACCCAGTCTTCTTGTAGAGAGCTGCTCTGTACCATGAAAATGCCCTTTACACCTTATTTGTATTTGTTTCATCTGACATTTGTTGTGTTCCTCATCTGTTATTTTTTAAGCTTACCTTATTACCTCTCAGTAATAAACAGTTTGATAGTTACAAATGCAGGTGAGTGCTCACCTCACACCATTTCAGCCCCTCAATGTTTGATCACATCAATCCATCATGCGCATTTTGTAAGTCAGTGATCGCTGATCACAAAGCCCCTTTACCTCATTTTCTGTCCTGAAGTTTACCAGTGTATATATATATGCTTGTGCATTTATTTTCAGCAGCTGTTGAATCTCTTCAGTATTTTCAAACAGAATAGAGATCTATGTGGATCTATGAGCATTACAATACTTAAAATGATTTAGGTTAATGATCAAAAGTATCCTATATTTAAAGAATACAGTTTTCTCAATTCAGATGTAGCAAAGATGCATTAACTAAGACCTTCTTTTTAAAGGAAGATATGTTGCTGAAAAATAAATACTGAAAATGCTGAACAGTGCACATACATTTATGCCAATCCTATAAGAAAAGCCCTTCATACCCAAAAGTGAAACAAAACTCAAGCTTGTATTTAGCCTTTATTCCTTTATTTACCTATTATATAGGTACATTATTATATTATATACCTTTCTTCTCGACAAACAATTTGCACCTTTGCCACCTCCAGCTCAGAAGTCACCAGCCATGTCTGGTTGGAATCTGACTCTCAACAACTAGTAGTGCTCCAAAAGACCATGTAACTGTGTTTTTTCCAAATCCCACAGGAGCACAAAGATGAAAGACCCGTCCACGTGTTCACAGAGTGGTGTCCAGTTACTGGCAAGTCGCTGCCAACTCAGTCTGCCAGAGGTGAGTGGACAGCCAGTATTATAGTCAGTGATTAAATATTCATAACTCACTCATATATTGTGCTTTTTAGACGGGTGAACTTGACAATGTTGGGAACCAAACATTCCATCAAGCAGACCATTGGCAAAAAGGGAGTTAAAATGAAGCATGTGGAGAGAATTGAATGTTGTCTTTAGTACTATCAATAATAACCATTCACTACGTCCATATAAAACAGTAATTACTAGTAACGGGGCTTTCAGACAGTGAATACCTCCAAAGGAAATAAACGTAATTTATATTGAATGTTAACAGTCTAAGTTAACAACAGGACAGTTCCAGTTTATCTTATCTTATTATTTCAGTTAAATAATATCTTCCAGTTTATATTATTTAACTGAAATAATGTATTATGAAGTTTAGGGGCCTGCATGGCTTTAGGTTTGAGTTGAGAAACGGCACAGTTCTGTTTTCTCTGCTTATTCCCTGCCTTGCCTCTTGTCCACAGGAGGGAGCTGGTTTCTACAGCATCGACAATGAGGAGTACGAGGCCTTGCCAGTGGAGGTCATGTTGTTACCACGGAAACTCCAGTTCTTCTGCAGCCCAGCCAGCAAAAAGGAGATGCTAAAGGATCCCCAGTGAGGGCACAGACAAGAGAGAGAGGCATTTTTACACTGCTCAGGCCTCACAGCATGATTTTACGTGGGGGAAAAAAGAGACACAATTAACAAGTATGTTAACAGTACATCTCTGTGCTCCTATAGGTTTATTTACAGCACACTCAAGTAATACTTTTGGTTCTTGTACACCAGTCCAGCTTTCCTCCTGCTGTCTTAAAAGCTTAAGACAAGCAAGAAACAAAACATTTAAATAAAATAACAGGCTCCTGCTGTTTTTTATTTCCCAGAGATATTTCTGCACAGGTACATGCTCTGTCAATTTTTGATATCTGTCAAAACAGAAAACTGAAAGAGCACCATTCACTGTAAATATTATGTGAAGCTGGAAAAGTACAGTGCCTCCCTAGATTCGGAGGCACTGCGTCTCAGCTGAGTGTGTTCTCTGACACGGAACAGTAGCCATCTCCAGAGTGAGCTGCCAGCTGTTGCATTTTAGAGCGTCTCAGCTGAAATGTTGAAGTTTCTTCTCTTCCTCTGCTCTCCAGGGATGTTTATTTGTGGCTGAAAAAGGCAATGCTGAACCATTTGAGAAATGCAACAGAACATAATCATCACTTTTATTAACTGCTTATTCAATTCAGAATCACAGTGGCCCAGAGCCTATCCCAACAAGCATGAGGCATAGGGCAGGATACACCCTGGATGTGATGCCAGTCCATTGCAGGGCATACAGCAAAACATTTCTCTGGAATAAATCCTGTGTTTGAACCATAGCACTTGGGCACAACATTCTCCATTTCCTGTCTTATTTCAACTCAAGCCCAACTTGACTTGAATTGGTAGTCAGATGTAATTGAAATCGGTTACCTTTTCATTGGAAAACTGCAACTTCAAATGTAAACTTTGTCAAGTTAATGTGATGTCTTATGTTTATATCATGACTATTAAATAGTTCATTTAAAATAGTTTTAGGTTCTATTCATTTAAATTGTGCCTCTGAAAACATGTACCCCCCCCTTCACATAAAAGTAATCCACATGTTTTTTTTACCAAAGCAGAAGTATCATTTATTTAAAACATTTTTACTTATACCACCTGCTATTCAAGATTATTAAGAGCTTTAGCTTAATCTGTTAGACATGCTGGAGGCTCCTTGGAATGTTTAATTCAAGACGGGGACCCAAAGACTTTTATTCCAGTTTTCATTTGTCACCCGAAACAATACAGGAAAATGTAATTATTAGATTTAAGTTCAAATAAGTTACCATAATGTGAGGAATATATTTCACTAGCAGCATTTAGGCGAAAGAAAAAAAACATTTATAGCTTGTGTTACATCATAAAATAGAATTGTGCTGCCTAAAAAAAAAGTTTTGTGATGGTATTCATAGTTACTGTTGTATTGATATCTTTAAATGAAGTAAGTCCCTTTTTATTGCTTTAGTAATACTGAATCATCTGGGATTTGTACATGGCATGTGTGGGTAATCATATTTCATTTTGCAGGTGTGGTAGATTTTAAGGGTGTGGTTTAGCTGGATGCCTTTATAAGCTAATTCTATCCATTGGGGACAGCAGTGTCAGATGCACGTGTAGGTACAGTACAAAGACAGACTCTTGCAGTTTATATTACTGTCATATAATGTACAGTGCCAAGAAAAGGTTTGAGAACTCCAAAGATAAATATGGAAATTTAATAATTTTAACATGAAAGCCTTCTTTAGCAAAACCAGCCTTTATTTAAATAGGGTTTATAGTAACACACTCCTTGTCTCTTGGAACATGAAACAAAATGTTTGAATTAAACTGAGTACATACAGGAAATGTGAGAAGTGAATCCCTAGTTTCATTATCTCAACAGAATAATAAGAATCAGATGTCTAAATAATAAATTGAGTTTGGAACTGACACTGAGGTTGGAAGTTCCAACTTTAAAAAAAAAGAAAAGATGGTTGGTCTGCGATTGGTCTTCCCTCTACAGGTGTTTGGAAACAAATCATACCACAATAAGAAAAGATATTGGTGCTCCTCAGTCTCAAAAGGAATACAAAGCCATTTTTTAGAATCCCGGGCTCTGCCAATCCACTGTCATACAATCTACAAATGATAAATAGTTCAAGATCACAGTCTCTCCCAGGAGCACTCATCCTTCCAGACTTTGTCCCAGGAACAAGCCAGAAAATTAATCAAGTGACAAAGAACCCCAAAATATCCAAGGAATTGCAGGCCACTTTTGCCTAAGCTAATGTGACTGTTCATGACTCGGCTATCAGAAAATGACTGAACAAAAATGGTGTTTAAGGAAGGATGGCAAGAAGAAAATCGCTGCTCTCCAAATAGAAAAGGGCTGCCCATCTGAAGTTTGGCAAAGAGCATACAGATGATCCACAAGGCTCTCTCTGGCCAGACAGGTCAAAGTTAGAACTCTGCCCTCGATGAGAAACCAATGGAGAAATCCAAACACTACATTGGAACAGATTAACCTCATCCCACCCATCAAGCATGGTAGTAGGAATGTGATGGTCTGGGGCTGCTTTTCTGCCTGAGGACCTGGATGACTTGCCATCATTGACACAACCACGAACTCTGCATTGTATCAGTGGATTCCAGGGAAGAATGTCTGGCCATCTGTCCATGACCTGCATCTGAACCAAAAGTGGGTTTACAGCAAGCCAATGATCCGTAAAATTAAAGCAGATCTACGAAAGAATGGCTGCAGAAGGAGACATTTTGCATTTTACAATGGCCTAGCAGTCAATGTCCGGACCTAAGGCCCACTGAAATACTGTGGCAGGACCTAAACTGAGCTGTACATGCAAGGCAGCCTTCAAATGGCACAGAGTTGAAGTTCCGTCAGGAGGAATGGGTAAAAATTCTCAAAACTCACTGCCATTAGTTAAAGAAGGTTCTCAAACTTTGTCTCAGATGCATATTGTTATTAATTTGTCATTTATTGACAGGATATGCAGCATATCCCGTATTCAAGAGGAATCTATTAGAACACATATATAATGATGCATCACTTGAGCATAAATGTTGAAAGAGTGCTATATTCTGAGTCATTTGTTTTATCGAGTGACTATTACTAAGAGTCGGATTAAGATTTAATATCATTTTATGTTTCAAACGTAAAAAATACTTAAGGGTTTACAAACCTTCTCTCAACACTATACACCATTCATACTGGTGCAGATAAAAAGTGACCAACTCTGTAATCAGAGTAAAGAATTAAAGTATTAGTACAGTACCATTCTCTACAGCTGAAAGGGAAATAGATTAAGTTTATTCCCTCTTAAGTGGAGTAGAATCAAATACAGTTGAAATGAAAAACACCAAGACAGAAAATGGCTAAAATCAAAAGACATTCATATCAACTACAGTTCATTTCCTATTTTTGTACTGTCACCATTATCCTAATTAAAACAAATTAAAAAAATTCTTAAGCACTAACAATCTGTCTTGTTTATTATAAGACCCTTAACACTCTGCTCTTCAAGGAGTGACATTTTAGGAAGAGAACATTGTGAGACAAATGAAAATGGTCTTAATTTGCAAATAACAGGAGACTGGCGATGCAGAGCACACTCTCTACAGTCAAGAGACCCAAAGGCTTTACAAACTGGCTTTTGCTGAAGGGTTTCTTATTAAACGTTTTGATTTGGCAGAAGCTCAGGATTAAAAAAAAATAGCTGAACTGGTGGCCTTCACATCTCTTTATTTTAATCTGGATCATGACACCTCAGTGGCTGCTGGTTTTCATTCCACGTCTCTTAAATTGATTTCTTTTTTAATTACTAAGTGGAAATCACTTGAGTGACTGCTGATTAACTGCAGAGAACATTCTCTACTGTGATGATATTGAATTTTGAAAAAAATATCAATGTACAGTATAGCGGCCTGCCTCAATGCTATTTTTTTCACTAAAAAGCACGTAGATAAGATGTACAAGAACAGAAAACATCAGGCACAGTGCAAAAACATAAAACAATATATAACCATTACTGAAACACAAGAAAAATGTTAACACCAATATTTCACTTATCAGCAAGAGGCTTTCATTTCACAGTCCAATTATTTTTTAAATTATGCCAATCAATAAATACTCTTTAAAAAATTCAATAAATACTCTGTCCCACTGACACGTGGAGAAAGGCTTCATCAGTGAACAGCTTGCAGTTTTAGAAGCAAAAATACATCTCAATATATCTTAAAACACTGGCAGAGATGAACTCTGAAACTTGTATGTTCACTTAAGGAATGAAGTAAATTAAACTCCCACAGTTTGAAGGCATTCTGAAAGTCACAGTAAATGAGTAGGTTGGTTTTGTTCACCAACAAGGGGTATCCTGCAAAGCTCCACAAATATCATCTGTATTATTTCTCATCACCACTTTAAGACTGAGAAAATATTTTTAGCAAGCGCTTACTGCACTCCACCACGATTAATTTGTAAGGTAACTGCAGTCTTTAAGTACATTTTACAAGTTTATACAAAGTGGTTTTTCTGGGATATACTATGGTTTCAAACAGTTGATAACACAGTTCACCATTCCTCTGCGCTCTGCGACTTTACTCTGCTGTTACCATGGTAACATTTTAGGGAATTACCTTGTGGACAGGTCTGCATTTTCACTGCTCATTTATTCACATACTCTTCAGTTTCTAAGTACATCTGTTGACAAATACTTTATAACCTTCAGATTATTATCTACCATACTTGACAGCTTTTCTCTCACTTGCCCGGAACGCAAATGGTTTTTGGCTCAGAAATTACACACTTACCAGGGTAGATCAGAAAAGGATTTTGCCATCTCTGAATATTAAACAGTCAACTTTTTTTTCTACACATTATATACAGGTATAGCAAAGTGATTCTACTACACTTTTAGTGTTACTGTGTTCAAACAGTTAAAAAATTAAAGAATTAGAAAAAATAAAAACATCTGGGCTCTTTCTCCAGCTGTCAACAATTACCCATGATGACCTCTGTATCTCTTTAGCTGGGGAGCAAAAAGAACAGAATAAAAAAACCTTAAGTGAACATAATTTAAGACACTGTGTAGTGCTCACTCCTCACGTAGGGAAGATCTGAAAACCCCCTTCGAACAGCAGCAGTCTTCTGTGAAATGCAAAACTTGGAACGTGCCCCCAGAAAAAAATCCTAACCAAAGGTGTCCAAGTGGTTAAAGGAGACACATGCTTCCCAACACCCCCCACGTAGTTCTGGCAGGCTCCAGTTAAGAGAAAAAAGCTCTGCAGGTTCAGGGACAGCAGGGGTTGTCGATGACCAGCATGACATCGATGCCATACACCTCCAGCAGGTCGATGAGGAAGCTGCGGTCCCCCTGGGGGTCCAGCCCCATGCCCCGCACGTGCTCCTCCGTCAGAGTCTTGTCCTGACTGCCGGATACCTCCCAAAGTGTCTGGAAGATCCGGTTGTTCAGCTCCATGAAAAACCTGTTGGCACAGAATTAGGAAATTATCCGCGATATCCATGTTGACACTGACTCTGTGATCGTTTGCAATATGTCCCAAAAGGGTCATATAACTCCCAAAGGAGTTACCACTGTGAAAAATACCACCTCTTCCCTAACAAATATCTTGTTTTGAACAGGTCAGATTTTACATTATGTAAAAAAAAAAATCCTAATGATTTGAAATGAGCAACAGCTAGCTGTGCTGTTTATGAACATGATCAACAATGGTTTTATGAGAAAGCATTGTACCTGATTGCGAATACTTCTGAAATTATAAGCAGTTAAACATGTATTCCACTCATATTAAATCCCCAGGTTTAATTATGCATGGCGTTCATAATTAAATTTGTCTGCTCGTGAATGCTAATGAGTTTTCTCCTCACAGCACACTAAACTAGAAACAGAAATGTCAGCAGACCCAGACATGCTCAAGGAATAACAAGGGCAGCTTCTTCATGAGTTAGAATCTGAAAAAACTGAAGATACCTCCCACCACTTAAGACTTCACATGGATTCATCCCAGATCAAAAACCTGCGTATTCCCGGCAAGGTTATTCCTGGAGCCTTTCCTAGAGCGCAAGGCACAACTATAACCTGAATGCTAGTCCACTGCAGAGCACATGCATCTGGACAATTTAGTAATGTGTAATCTCTGTATTCCGCACATGCTGTTAAAAAAGGACATTTCTACATGCTCTAGAGAAGAGGTTCTCAACAATGCTCCTGGGAGATGGTTCTTGTCTTCCGGTTTCTGCTCCTGCCTTAATCACAGGTTAATTGATTTCAATGTGTTGAGTCGTTCAGAATGAATGCCCTCACTCAGGTGTGTGAGCTGCACCCAACCTTAGTTTTCAGCGAAAGGGAAAAACATTCAATCACAGTGGAAGCTGTTTTATATAGAGTCATTCCCACCGTCGTCCGTTCATCATCAACTGGCTTCCTGTTCGGAGCCGTTTACTCCGAAATGTAGCAAGTTCTTAATAAGCAAGTTGAGCAGAGGCTGAAAGATCTGCTCTTAAACTGTTGGAAATGAAGACTAAGTACAGAAAAAACTCCAAAAAAGCAAGTTGATCGATTATATGCATTAAATAGAATGAGTGATTAAGGTGCCAGTTAGGATTAAAACTAGCACACACAGCAGTCCCTCACGAGTGCGTTTGAGAACCACTAATCTGGAAGTGGCTCCTCAAACGCATAGATATCCAAAAAACATGAATCTTTTTAGCCACAAACATTATTTTGCACCAATAAAATTGAAGACCTCTACAATTGATTGTTACTTTTGTAATTATCCAAATGCGTATAAACTTCCTGTTCAAAAACGTGTTGAGCACAAGGTATCATTTTAATTGAGAAGATACAGTAGCTGTATTGCATTCAACTATCCCTAGTTACCCTAGTCCCCTAAACTGTAAGACCAGTCTATAGCTACTCACAGGATAAAGAGGTCTTCTTCACTGGAAGAACAATCCCCATCCACCTCCAGGGAGTACAGCAGCATCTGTCTGTAGACAAGTCACCAAAACAGGAAGATTAACTCCTAAATTCGTAACGTCACGCTGTATTTTAAATCAGAAGAGCAATGGTAATTACGGCATGTTAGAATGGAAGAGCTAAATTGACTTAATAATAATATTAATGAGAATAAATATACAAAGAATTGCCTTGTTAGCAACCACAAACATGAGTGAAACTATTACAGAAACACCATAGCCACGTCACACATTGTGCTATTATCATATTGTCACACCTGGGGTTTATCACACTGTTTAAAATTCATTTCCAAGTAACCCATTCTTTAAAGGTAAAACCACAAGCAGCCTTGGAAACACACAATGTCTGATAATGTCCCTGATTCTGTAATCGTGGACAAAAAAGTTGTAGTAATTTTTAACTAGGATTAAGCCAATTTAAGTTAAATCATTTGTTCAGTCTTCTAGGAGCATTAATAGAGAAGACAGGATACAAGAGCACATAGAAACAGGGAAGAAAAAGAAATTAAACTAGAAGCAATTTGTGCCAGGAAAGTTTCCTCCTTCATTGACCAAGATTACAGAACTCCTAGATAATTTGAGTACTTAAAAGGCTGCTAACGTCTTACCTAAGGGAATATAGTTTTATATTTGTGGAAAAACTGCTTTTCTACTTGTGTTATCTACCAGGCTAAAATTAATCTCTCATTGGTTAAGTGATGAATTGTTCTGAATAGCAAAACAGATACAATTTTGTTGAACATCCAAATCAGAGAGATATTTAGACCTGAGTGTGATCTATTATATAATAAGACAATAAGTCCCCTCTTTTTTCTTTTGCAGTATTTTTGCCTCAGGCAGACTGACGTGTGTGCACGCACATAAATAAAAGACAGGGCATTCACACACACACATACAAAAAACAACAGAAAGGAGAGAAAGAAAGTAAACCAACCAGGTAGCTGAATGAATGCATACATACAACCAAAAAAAAAGCAAACAGACATCCAACTAAGAAAAAAAAATAGAGATCCCCATAAAACAAATAACACTAAAAACCTTTTAATTTATTCATTCATTAAAATGATACAACATTAAATGTCTTTGTCGGGAAAAGTATGTGAACCTCTAGGATTATCAGTTCAGTTAAGGGGATCATTAGTCAGGAGTGTCAATCAATGGGATGACAATCAGGTGTGAGTTTGGGTGGCCTTGCCCTATTTAAAAAACAAACCTGAGTCTTCACTACACAGGTTTGTGAACACATGCCATGCCTCGGTCAAAGGAGATTTCTGAGGACCTCAGAAAAAGAGTTGTTGATGCTGGAAAAGGTTACAAAATGATTTCTAAAGACTTTGGGCTTCACCAATCCATTGTTAGGCAGATAGTGTACAAATGGAGAAAATTCAACACCATTGTTACTCTCCCCAGGAGCGGTCGTCCAACAAAAATCACTCCAAAAGCAAGGCAATAATATTCCGGGAGATCACAAAGAACCCCAGGGTAAAGTCTAAGGATCTGCAGGACTCTCTTGCACTGGCTAATGTCAGTGTTCATGAGTCCACCATCAGGAAAACACTGAACAAAAATAGTGTGCATGGGAGGATATCAAGGAGGAAGCCACTACTCTCCAAGCAGAACATTGCTGCCCGTTTAAAGTTTGCTAAAGATCACCTGGATGAGCCAGAAAACGACTGGAAGAATGTTCTGTGGACTGATGAGTCGAAAATAGAACTTTTTGGCTTAAATGAGAAATGTTATGTTTGGCGAAGACCAAACACTGCATTCCAACATAAGAACCACATCCCAACTGTGAAACACGGTGGTGGCAGTATCATGGTTTGGGGCTGTTTTTAACGGAACTATGAATTTTGGATTTTGGATTGTTCCAGCAAATTCTACAGGAGAATGTCAGGGTATCCGTCCGTGAACTGAAGCTCAACAGAAACTAAACACACAAGTCAGTCTACCAAAGAATGGTTGAAGCAGAAGAAATTTCTCGTTTTGGAATAGATGAGTCAAAGTCCAGACCTTAATCCAATAGAAATGTTGTGGCAGGACCTGAAGCGGGGAGTTCATGCAAGAAAGCCCACCAACATCACTGAGCTGAAGCAGTTCTGTAAGGAGGAATGGGCCGAAATTCCTCAAAGCTAATGTGCGGGACTGATCAACAGTTACCGTAAACGTTTGGATGAAGTCATTGCTGCTAAAGGGGATCACACCAGTTACTGAAAGCCTAGGTTCACATACTTTTTCCAAACAAAGACATTTAATGTTGGATCATTTTGATAAATAAATGAATTAAAAAGTACATCCTTTTGTGTGTTATTTGTTTTATTGAGTTCTCTTTATCTATTTTTATTACTTAGAACAAGACCTGATCACATTTTAGGTCAAATTTATGCAGAAATTCAGAAAATTCCATAGTGTTCGAAAACGTTCTAGCACCACTGTAAAATGATGTTTTGGGTATCTGCAACTTATTTTAATATTTGACTTTTTAGCTTTGTCACGACTCTCTGCAATAGAGAACAATGAAAGCATTTTCTGTGAAATGCTTTGTCTTTCCTGACAACAGGGAATTTATAATTCTTAACTTTTATTAATCTGCTTGCATTGCAAGCTGGTGTCAGAACCCAATATTGATTTGGTATTCATCTTGTTTGACTGATTTTCTTATTTATAATTTGAATCTGACACCAGTATATTAGTCTTTGCAATGACATTGGTGTGCTTTCTCTCCTTTCATTGTCAGTTAAAGCAAATTAAATAGATTTTTTTCAAAAACTGGCTCTACCCAAGCACAAAAAAATAATGTTACAGCTCTCACATACCAAACACAGCTAGCAACTACACCATCCCGAAGCCTAATCTCACTGGTGGTAAGAAGCTTAACATAGCTGGGGCTGGTCAGTGTATTCTATGTAAAAGAGTAATAAGATGTTGGAAGTAGTCATGGAACAGTGTCACCTACTGGTTGACCTTCTGGCGCACAAACAATAACCTATCTCCCAGTATTTGGACAGGGGAACAAAACCAATCAACCATAAAACCTGAGTCCATAATAAGAATAAAAGGGGAAAATATAATATATATTTAAAAAAATTACATGTATAGTTTCTAATTGTGCTGCATCTCCTACTCAACCCCCTGCCCTGTTCCCTGTAGCGAGGCAACTCACAACCAACATCCACACCGATATTGCTCCTGGCCAGTACCTCTGCTCACTGAGTTTGCGGTATTTATCCCTGTCTGCGCTGTTGATCCTCAGAAGTGGCTGCAGGTTCTCATTGTGTGTTTTTACATTCTGATTGTCCACGTATACATCATACAGATCCTTCTTCTCCTCGAAAATCTTTTCTGTCGTACCTGAAGGAAGACCATAAAAATGTTAAGCTGAAATTTAAAAAAATGGACTGTAGAAGCATGTGGCCTCTACAAATGAAAACAGCTAACAATCGAAGGTCAAACTCTTTGAAACGCTGCAGACTTCAATGTACAGTATTTTGTAACCTACAAACACCTCCTTTTAGTGTTTCCCATTTTGAAGCCCTTCAGAATGACCTTCTAAAGAAGATATTAAATCAGTCTTAACAGAAATGTCAATAATACAATAGTACCAATAAATTGCAGCATCTTGGCGGACATTCACAAGTCTGCTTTTGCAAGGTTGCCTTCTGGTGATACAAATGTCAATAGCTCCTACACAGATCATCTTGCATCAGCCAGCAGTCAGAGGTCTTCTGCTATTGGACTGTTTTACAAGGACGCAAAACAAATTCAAGGCACAGAGACTAAAAAAGACTTTTCTTATGGCTCCAGGTCCACAGTTCCGTGGAGGCGCTTGTGAGGTCAGTGGCCTTGGCTTTTAAATAGCAGCTCCATTTTCAATATCAACACTAATGTATCTGTCACCTCAAAAACATTTTACCTTCTATGTTGCATTCTTATTTTTTTCGCATGGAAGCAGGGATTATGGAAATATAACTCAAACGTGTCTCCAGAGGAACTTCCAGCATGAGTCACATAGGTGTCTCGAAGCCTCCTAACCCTAACCCTCCTAACCCAGGCCATTGGTACAACATTTTTGATATAAAGGCCCTTCCTCACTTTCAGTGGCCTAAAAACAGACAGTCGCCACCCAGCAGGTTTTGTTGATAATGAAATATCAGTTTCGAAAGTGAACAATTTAATCGTGATCATTAATTAAGTCATCATTAACTCGATAGCATTCCCAATCTTTAGAAATGGGCAATTGGGAGTGACATATAAGGCTCAATGGAATGGGGCTCTCCAGGTTCAGGGTTGGGGACCCCTGGCTTTAAAGAATTGTTAGCAGTGCTCTTGAAAAATGGCATCAATGGCATCTTAAATCAAGGTTCAGAATCTGAAAGTGTATTCAAGTAAACTTAATTCTACTGCTAAACCTATAATAATTAAAAAAGAGAAGACTTTGGTACAAGTATTTAAAAAGTCATGACAAAGCAAACCCAGAACAGTACTTCAGGACAAACCGTGAAATGCAATTAGGACAGACGAGCTCCTGACAATACAAGGTATTTCTTCATGAAACTGCATGTTGGTTGTCTGCAATGAACAGCTCAGGCTGATTGTTTAAACAGTCTGCGTGAGACCCTTCAAGAACTGATAATATCCCAACATCGATACACTGTTATCAAGAAAATTAGAAAGACAGGTTTAATGGCCTCCAATCAGTTGTAACCTTTATTACAAGACCTTTCACAGCAGGTTAACCAGGCTATGTCAGTGACAGCACACAAGCAGCTGGAAGGTCCCGAGATGCAGCACGGTTATGTACTCACAAGCTACATATGACAGTTCCGTCTCCAGGGCTTCGATATCGGCGACGTTAATGTAGAAGAAAGGGCGGAACTCTGGCACAGACAGGCCCACTCCAGGGAGAGAGACATTGGCCAAGCAGCAGCAGCAGTACACTGCAGGGGAGAGGAACAGCCTCCGCTGAGACATCTCCAATAGTTCGGCAACTGGCAGAAGTTTGGTTAGTGCTCTAATTTATAAATAAATAATCATTCCATACCATTTCAATGAAAGCACTTTTCATCCTATAGGATCCCAAAGAGCTTTACAGTACAGAAAGGAGGGGACCCGTTCATTAATCAGCAAAGTGCAAAACAACCCACAAGGGCAATACACAGCCGTCTTTACGGCACCAGCAGCCCCTCTTCGTAGCTCAGCTAGAGAGGAACTGCTTCACCAAACTGAATTTAAGGAGGAACTTTAGGAAGGCCAGATTGTGCCAGTCCTAAATGTTAGGCTAAACGTAATTCTATAATGTCATGGGATCGTTAATGAGAAAGTAAGGGAGTAGTTTAACATCGCATCCAAAGGACTGCACTTCCTGCAGCCCTGTATCCCTGATCACCATATTGGGGTGTTAGATTGGAATTTCTAATGTACAGAGAAGAGTGCCTCTTACTGCTCCACCATCACCACTGACAGCAGCAACTAGGTCTCCATTACCAGTACTGACTAGGCCCAGCCTTGTTCCACTTTTGGAGAACTCACAAAATCAAGTTGGGGGTGATACGATATTATTTTTTGTTTTCATACCTCAATCCCTTGTATTGGAACAGCCATCTATTAATTAACAAGGCTCACTGCTATGATCCCCAGATCAACCAGGGAGAGCTGAAGCAAAAATGCGACAATGTGTACAATACACCTCGGAACAAGTAATAGGTTTATTTCCATGCTAAAAAGAGAAGAAAGAAAACACAATGTTTCGGCTGTGGAGCCTTCTTCGGGTGTAAGCATCTTACATTTCCCTTACACCTGAAGAAGACTCCACAGCCAAAACGTTGTGTTCTCTTTCTTCTCTTTTTAGCATGAAATAAACCTTTACTTGTTTCTTTGCAGCCTGTGCATGCTGACGCAGCTACCCACCTGAACTACTACAATACACCTCTTTGAGCTGGAGGTACAGACAGGTGGAGGCCTAAATGAAGGCTGCCCTAGAATAGTAATGAATTCACAAGCTAAGAGGTGAACCGCCAGAAAAAGAGATGAAGTCAGTATATCAGGGAGTTTCCGCCATCTCCTCTCTCCTGATAATAGAAGGGAGTAGGTACAGTATCTAGGTACCATCCTTTAATATGCCTGACATTCAGTATTTTGGGCCCTCCCCTTTAAAGACAGAAATTCACAAGGTATTTTAAATTTTAAACAGGACTGTTTTCTTATAATAGTATGTCTGTAAAAATATTTATTTTTGTGGTACTCACGAAGCAAGATAACCTTTGTTATATTTTGAAACAAGGATAAAGATTCCTATGCTGATCAGCATAGAGAGGTTATGCCTTGAGTAGTGCCTTTTATTTTGTAATAATGTCATAACCATCTCCTGTAAATTTCTCATTCAGTGAAGAAAAGTTTAGTCCCAGGACATTTCTTATGCCATACCTCTGTAACAGACCACTCCCACAGGGGGCGGAGAGAAGATGAGGATCCGTTTCCGTAGTAATGCAAACTTCCACAGGATCATGATCTGTTCCCCAAAAAATTTGATGAACTGGGACATGCAGCCTGCCGGGTGAGTAATCTACAAAGAAAGGAGGAATGCCTTTGACAATGAGGCACACAAAGAAATCATACAGAATTTAGCATAACGATTTAGCATATGCAGTTATTAAAATCTTACTTCCTCTTTGAAAGACATTTAAGTCACAGCTGTTTGGTGCCCTAGATCGGCTTTAACTGAAACTCAAATCATATTGTGTGGTTTAAAAGCTTCAGAAAAACATGTATAGGATTTACAATGCAGATTTATGCCTTTGGAAGACGTATAAAAACACAGAACATCTCTGTAGATTAAAGGAATGTGGAGACTGAGCTAGCACACAGAAGGAGCTCACAGTTCAATTCTCTAACCACATCACAGACATGCAAACATTTCTGAGCTCAAAAAGAGCAGGCTGCAAAAAGCTACCAAATCCCTTGACTCGGATCTACTTCTTGACAGCCCGAGGCAAAGGTGCACGTCAGACTATCAGAAAACAAACTCTCAATGTGGTAGAAAAACATCATAAGCTCTTACTGTCATTCATGAAGAAAAAATATCTCAGGGGTTCTCTCTATGTTTTCAAAAGGGGCACCTTAATTATGACTAGCGGACTTTTAGCCATGCCACCTAGACTAGATTTATGTCTGATCCATTTGCCTCATTGTTGTTCCACTGAAATTATCTAAAAGCTGCCAGGTTGCATCTCATCACAGTGATTTAAAAAGGTACACGACTGACGCAAGCTAGATGCGAACATACTGTCTCTACCCCATCTGTGCCAACTGCCGTTGCTACACAAACAACAGCAGATTTTGATATAACTCAAGAGAGACACAACCCTGATGTCTGTACAACAACAAGCAAAGCACCAGGAAATGTGCTAATCTAGGACTACCTATTGTTATGCAAAGTCAGCAATTCTAGGACTACTGCTAATCTTGGCCTGTGAAACTCGCCTGTACAGTTCAAATTTGAAAGTGAGATTAAACCAGTATATTGTGCCCCAATTATTGAAAATCTCCTACCTTCATTTCGGGGTGCATGCACCTGTTGACAGTGGGTACCCAGGGCCCTGGTTGGAGTGAGGTAGTTGCTCCGTTTCCCATTGGTAGAACCCCTTTCTTGTCTTCGTAAAAGGCCTCTAACTGAGAGTAGTGTCCTGGTACCTCTAGCTGATGCCTACAGGAACAGATGCAATATCATATCAGCAAAGGAAGAGAAGCTTTATTTACCTTTTGACTGGTTCAAAGCATAAAAATGGCTCTCTGCCCACATCCCTGGCATCCTGTTTTGGTGTGGCTTTGGTATGAATAATCAGCACTTGTGCAGATGTGCCACGATGTGTGGAGTCCTATAGAATATGCAGAATATGCAGTGCCAAAGCACCCAATCTGTCAACTAACAAGGTAAAAAAGTAAAATGATATTATTAAATTAGACCTAATGAATAATTTAGCTCATGGAACCACATCTCAATACTTCATAGCTCATAAAAAAATGTTGTCCTGGTTTAGCGTGGTATGGCAGACTAAGCTATCAAAGTGAGTGGCTCCTGCCAAAAAGAACAATGTCCACAAAACCGTGAAATGACTATCCTACTGAACCCTTGAAAGCGACTCAAAAATTACAGATGGTATGTACACACCGGAAGCCTGCAGAGCACAAACTGCGCTAGACCCGTGATTCTTAATTTATTTACCAAAAGCAGGCTCTGTCTCCATAAGGCAGGCTCCTAATTTCTTTTTGTTTTCACCTCTATGTTCCACACCCTTTGTCTTCATTCTTCACATTTAACATGTTATAACCAAAACGAATGGTCCCGATATACCACAGTACTCGGATTAAAGAAATCTCCTTTTACAATGCGCCTGCCGTTTCATTTTTCTGTTTCCGGTTATAAAAAGCCATTTACAATTCAAGCAAGCTTCCCACACGTTTGGGCTTCAGACAGTCCAGCTTCATCATTTGGTAACACGAACTACGTAGTTTGAACCTGTAATCATTAAATAATAGCTCAAACCTTCCTTTGGAAAAACAAGCTCTGTTATCTTTGAAGCAAAAAACAATCTGATTATACAGCTTTCCAGAAAAAAAGACTGATTCTCTGACATTTTACCTTTCCTTTTCAGAAGAACCATACATGTAATTAAATGATAAAACTCATTGATTAAAGGACTTTTCAATGACTCACACACACTGGTTCATGAATAGTGGCATTATATTGCGACATTCATCTCCCTAAGATGCCAAGGCAGTTCACAGTACTGCTCAAGCTAAGCCAGAGAACAAAGACTGAAGTCCTGCTGCTTATTGTTTGGTTCACTGTACTGGGCCTTGTTTCATGACAGCCTGTCTGTCAAATGACCAAACTGCGAGTAAAGGCCCCAAACACAAGCAACACTTTCAAACTGGCTCTACATCTCTCATTATGCAGAGCATTTCAATTCCTCACAATTAAAATCTTTCTTAACAGTCACAGTTGGACATTTAACAAAAAAATCTACTACTGGGACCAAAGTGCATGCTGTAGTCAATTTGGAGAAGCTACCTGTAGCAAACCCTCCTAAAAATGTAGCATCTTCTGTAGGATCTACATTATGTACATAAAGACTGTTTTCTTTCATTATACACCAGCCATAATGTTTCAAGCCTTTCAGAACCTGAAGCTTTTGGATTAGAGCCCCGAACCTCTTTTGTAGTGTGAAATCAGATCTCTGATAGCTGTACCCATTTCTCCAATACCCTTGTGAGGAAAGCGAACCATGTGTTATTCCTTTTTCTCGGTCTCAGGAGCGTTTCTACACCACTTACTAGCGCCCTTACACTATAGTGTGTGTACAGTCCATTACACTGCCCCCTACAGCACCTTTTCCCAACTTTCACAAGAGAAAGCTCTTAGATAGATAAGACTTTATTGATCCCGAAGGGAAATTGATGACAGTCTTCTGTTCCCTGGGTGGAGCAGGCCATCCCATAACAGTTTGCGACCAACATTTCCTATTTCATAAAGATTCAATGGTGGTGACAGTTTCTCTGTGGATCTGCTCCTCCTTTATGGTGGAGCACAGCGATCAAACTACCCCACTGCACTGCAATACACGACCAGGCCAAACTGCTGTCCTCTAAGGGCAAGTCTTCATAACTGTTTGTCACTGTTTTTGCCATCTCTATATTTGTGTCATTTAGCCAGTTTTCTTAACTGGACTTCCATAGTGGTCAATTTAAAAAAAGCCGCTATCTCTTTTGCGCATGGAAAACAAACCTGGATTTTCAAACAATCGGAACCATGGGCTAGTTGAAGTTCAGCCAGTATTAAACACAGGAGGGTCCGACGTCCTCAGGCATTTTGAGTTTTGTTTGTACTAGAGCTGTGGAAGCAGCTGTGAAGGCGAACAGGACATGAAACATAAAGGGATTTTAGGTACACAAACAGGGCTTGACTGACTCACTGGAGAACAGAAGGTTGTGTGTCTATCTTGAACTCTCTCCTAACAACACAAAGTGAGAGATAAAGAGGACGAGAGGCTCGTACCTACCTGACTTGGTTCTCCAGAAAATGCATGTATCTGTACAGCAGGGTATAGGATGGTGACAGAATCCCCACAGACTTCATTCGGGCACCCCTCTCCAGCTCACTCTCCACCGGCATGTTGGCAAAGCATGCCAGACCAAAGTAGCTGCCTTTACGGAAATATCTACGTGGCAAAAAAAATTGAACAGTGGGACTTTTAGGATTACAGAAATAGAGAGACCTTTGGACAAAATGTTTGTCATGCCAAACGTGTTACTTGTGTCAGGACAATTCGCTGAACAGGGCAGGCCTTGGTGAGTGCCATCCCAGGGTTCATCAACATAATGCTTGTCATGGAGCAAGCTGGAGCTTAGTTAAAGCCTCTTCCTTCACTGCAGTAAATTGGACACCTGCCTTGACTTGACGGATTGGACTCCAGTGGAATGGAATTCTACAGGCAGTAAAGGGATCAGCTGGTTGGCCCTGTGTTTAACTGGGACATTCCTCGGGAGCAGCAGCAGTCACTATGACAGCAGTCAAGTGCTGAGGGCAGAGAGCCTGCATCTAAGCTCTTGCGGTTCAGGGAAGGAGAGCGCTAGTGGATTCCTGAATTGTAGCGAGTTTACATTTAGACTTTTAACATCGCCAGCCAACCAACCAGGTCCAGGTTTGAACTTTAGAAAGAGAAAATGAAGACTTGCAAGGATTTTGTTATGGGTGGATTTAGTAAAGAAAGATGGATCCACAGACTGAATATAGTAGTTTCTCCAGTGCGTGCTATATCCCTGGATTAGTTTGAATTCTCTGTAGTAGTATAATGGATTAGTAGTGTTTATGGTTGGAAACTGGGTGCCAGTAGGTGAGACGTGCCAGAATGTCTCAGAAGAGACCAAGAGCATGTATCTTCCTGTGTAGGGAAAACAAGCTGTGTGGGAAGGGTGAGCCCGATTAAGTGAGCCAGGGTCTCAGAGTAGGGATGGGACAGGATTCTTCCACGTAAAGGGAAGACTGGCTACAGACAGGAAAGCAAGGTTGAGTGAGCCAGGATTCCAGGAAATTAAAGTAAAAAGTTCTATTTTATAAGGAAGAAAAAAAAAAGGCGAATTATGGAATTCGTCGAGAATTTCTGTTCCAGTTCGCTTAGTGGAACTGAAGTTGTTCCACATGAGAAAAAGAACTGATGATCTTTTGAGGACTTATCTCTGTGAAGGACTGGTTTGGGGACTGAGTAGGCTTCTCTGAAAGGGGACCACCGGCACATCTTAGGAGCCCGGAGGGTGACAGATCACCAAAAAGAAAAACTACTCAAGTGGATGGTATGCTGGCTCAGAGCTGCAGTTTGTGGCTCGGGGGTCGGCATTCATCACGACTTTATTCAAAGTCTGGTAATTACAGGAAGTGAAAATTAAATCGTATTAATTGTCGATATAGCAGATTACAGTTAAGTATTACAACCATAAACTGAGCAAGACATAATGAAATTAATTAATTAAACATGATTCATCTTGTCATTTCTTTGAAGAAGCAAGGGTGGCTGTTTTGACAACATGATTGGGTAACTTGTTTTAGACTCTCTCAACTCTCAGTGGCTCTTCTCGACAAATCTAAATGTTTCATTTTGCACTCCCACACAGGTGCAGGAGTTGGGGCTGGGAAGCTAAAAAGTTTTTTAAAATTATTGGTTAAAGATTTATTCTTAAATTAAAAATGGTAAAGGCACAGCCAGCTGTGACCAGGACTTGACTTTCCCCAGGTGGGCGAGTGATACCAAGTGTATGGTGGGCCTTGTCTCAGTTCTCAGCAAATACAGCAACCCCTGCCTTCTCCTGGGCGCATGCTGGTCTGTGGAGCTGTCAGTACCACGGTGCTGAGACGAGCCTCTCTAATATGGGGCTGTGTGTCCTGTGGGGTTCAAAGGTCAGAAGAGTCTGCCTACACCTCCTCATTCTCCCCTGTGGGAAGTCAAGCAGTCTGTAGCCTTGAACCAAAATGTGAAAAACATATAACTGCCAAATGCAAAATCCTATGAGTAGCTTTGATTTTTTTAACAATTCACAGTTCCAATAAGGAAGTTGTATTAAAAGCAAAACACTGTTTTCAAAAAATAAAAAAAACTTACATGAAGTCTGAGGCAACTCTATGTGACCCACTGGCCATAGATTTGAACTCCACACCGTCAAGATTTATATCCCGAGGCAAACACCATTCCACGATATTGCCTGAAAAGAAAAACGACTTCGTTTACCAGTGCATTCATTTCTGAGTCAGAGTCAGTACTCAATAGCGCCCTAAAGTCAATCAACTGCATTTTCTAATCCAGCTGTAATATCAGCACATTTATGAAAACTTTAAAAGACCTGAGTAATGGCTCCAACACTCATATTTACTTAAATACTCTAACAATTACTAGCACAGTATGAAAAAATATTAAGTCTGAATAACAACATCAATTTCTACAAATAGTAAAATCACCCATTTTTTCTTTAATTTTTTTTTTTAATCCATAGTCATCCACATTTTCTTCTTATTTTTTGAAAAACCAATGCAAGTGCCATTGTCATTTTGGATTGTATAATTTCTCCCTACAGGGAATACAAAATAAAGTGCCTAAAGCATAGCAGTTTCACCCACTTTATATTTTACACTAGCAGATATTTTTACACACTCAGGCAACCATTAGCTTTACACTGCCCTATTGTACGTTATCAATACAGTCCATACAATTGCTTGCAGCCCATAAAGCCTGAAATGGATTATAATGCTATGCAATGGGAGCCTCAGTTCCGTCCCTGTATATCATTTCTACATCACAAAAAACATTGTCAGGGGGCTGACACTGCTGTGGTCTGGAGGTTCTCAGGAAATTGCTACATCACAAGTTAGATCTGCCATCTCCCAATCTCATTCTATTGTCCAAGCTCGACATTATAGTCTAAGACGGCACGGCACAAGATGGAAAGTGCCAATCCTTTCATTCTTTCCACTGCACAGAAGATCATCACCAATGACACAAACAATTAAACTCATATTGCATGTGTTGAAGAGAAAAAAAGCCACTTTAAGTCATCATTGCAACCGTCCACCAAAACACGCACAGGCACTCTCAGCGCGAACACAAACCTGCCAACTGTTTGCAGTGAGACTGAGGGAGAGACCTTAATCAATAGCAGTCTGTGCAAGATAAGAGAAGATCACTTTATTAGCCATACACAATTTCTTGCATTAAGAATACCCCAGCTTGCTCTCCATGAGACACACAGACAGGGAGAGAAGTTTGGGGTCAGAGCGCATTTATACTGCCCCCCTGGAGCAGGATTCCTCCGCCAGTCGCAGGATACGAACCAGCAACCTTCCAGCCACAGGCGCAGATCCTTAGCCACAGAGCCACCGCACCGCCAAGAACCAAGAAAGTGCTTGAACACTGCACAGATCAAATGCCCATTTTAAAAACCGTTCAGACACTTCTGTGTTTTCTGTATTGTCATCATCAAACTACTTGGAATACCTGCAATAGAAACTGTCATATTTAGCTAATCCACCCATCCATTTTCTAAACCTTTTTATCCGGTACAAGGTCACGGTGGGGAGTCAGATCCTAACCCAGCAAGCCACGTGGGTGCAAAGTGGGATACACCCTGGATGGGACGCAAGATCATCACAGGGCACACACTGACACAAACGTGCACACAGACCAGTTTTTACGGAAGCTAATTAACAGACCAGGATGTCTTTGGACTGTGTAAGGAAACCCATGGGAACATGGGGGGGCATACAAAGTCCACACAGACAGCACCCAAAGAAATAAACCCAGGGCCTCAGCACTCTGCGGCAGCCATGCTAATTACGGCACCCTGCTACCATTCTGTATATCAGATACAAATGTACAAAAGGCAATGATTCAACTTTAACACTTGAAAAGGAGTACAGGTACCACAATATACAAAAAAGAAAAGATGGGCATGGAATTACAAGCTGTAAAAAGGTAAAGGTCAACATGTTCTGTTAGTCTTTCAGTAGTCATTATTTCTGACCATTTTATCAATAAATGAGATTATTTTCTAACCCCATGGGCTAAATTAATGAAATTTCCAGTAATAAAACAAGTTTTCCTTTACAATATGATGTGTAAACTCACTCTGCTTTACTACTCGGTAATTAAACAGATTTAGGTTAAATTTGTTTTTATTAATCTTTTGGCAGATAGTACATGTACAATTACACATTCCTAGCAAAAAATAAAATGACCTTTTGATACCTTTTGATTCGCAAAACTCTATCCTGTTATTGATGCCCGGCTATTGAGGCCTTTGATTAAAGGCCTACATAAGCATATTATTCTTATCCCCGATTTACATCTAAATATAGGATACAGACATTGTCCAAAATGCCAGCTTCACACCTTAGCCACTGCTGAATTGTGACAAGTGTTTTTCACAACAAAACTACCCTGCTATTAAGTGCAACTAGTCTCACATGCTTCGAATGTTTTTTGCAGCTCAGTGCCACAAACCAAACAAATCAACACTTTACTTCCTCTCACAGAAAGCCATTGAGAGGACAAGCCTCCTTCCCCGAGATCTACTGCTACAACCCAGTCAAAAGTCACAGAATTTGCACTGAACATCTGCACACAATTCCTCCAGGCTGGCGTAGGAAGACAGCAATCTCTTTCATCTTTCATCTTTGTCTTGAATGAAAACACACACTGTGCTGATAAGCAGCTTTTGTTATTTTAAAATACACTATTTTATCTTGTTGCAACCTTTGTGTTGTTACACAGGAAAAAAAGAAAAGACATCGGTTAAACAGTACTTAGAAAGTATGAAGAAAAAACAGGCTTTGGCTATCACTGCAGCAGAGGCTGTCACAGTTCGTGACATGACTCAACACTCCTCTGAGCACTTCGCTTTCTCTCTCCCTTGTGGTTATGAAAGAAAAGGGAAGCTGTGGTTAAGAGAAAAAGAGGCTGATCAGACACCGCTGTCTTCTGTCAGCTTAAATCCACCAAACATCCAGGGTGGTTTGTGTTCATCTTCTGGTGGCACTCTAGCCATCTCTGTTGTTCAACCTGAGGGATGTGCTTCGATTTTGATTCTCAGCACTGAGGTCCGAGACTGGCCAATTCATTTCTACAACTATCCTTTGATTGTGAAGGCATTCCTGCTTAAAAAGAATACCGTAAGATTATTCCAGAAAAGGTTACAAATGAAGAGTCCATCTGTTTTATTTGGTTGTAACTTTATTGACCAGTGGATCTCCTACAGCCACTGTTTAAAGGGATCTCATAAATTCGGCTTTCAACAAGGCTGGGTTTGTTATGGACACCTGATACTGTGTGTGAAGATGGGGATCCTGTTTTTAGTTCTTTCTTGTTAATTCCACTTGTGTGTCCACATTTCCAGTACATTGTCAATCCTGACGTATACCTAAGATTAAACCTAATAAGCTGGCCTGTGTCTCCTCTAAAACACCCTTTGAAAGCGAGTAAGAATTAATTTTACAAAGTCGAGATTTGGTAGATTTGGGAAGACATCACATTTAAAGGCCATTAATGAGTTCTGAATACAGTGGCTGTCAAGAAGACAACTTCACTGTCTGTATTTCTCTTAGACCACTGTGCACAAAAACCTTCTAAGAGCTCACAAATTTCATCTTCTTAAAAAAAGTAGTCAAAAAAATAAAAGATGTAAAAAATACAAATTAAATAAGACGTAAGTATTTCAATTCATGTGTATTTAAGGAAGGAATACGATTATATTTCACTTCTATACATTTCTGAGATTTTACTAAATTCTCACTATACTGTAAAACTATACACTACACTGTAAAAAGGCACCGTCCTTCGGATGAGATGTAAAAAAAGTTTTATCCCTCTCCATGGTCATTAAAAATCCCAACACTTTTCACAAGAAGAGTAGATAAGTAGTTAACCCTGACGTCCTGGCCAAATTTCCCCCTGGGCCTTACCAATCATGGCCTCCTAATAATCCCCATCTCTGAACCAGCTTCATCACTCTGCTCTCCTCCCCGTTGATAGCTGATGTGTGGTGAGCATACTGGCGCACTTCATCCAGTTGGGGGAAACACACTGGTGGTGATGGAGAGGAGTCCCCATTACCCGTAAAGTGCACTGAGGGAGCGTCTAGAAAAGTGTATTATAAAGGTTTAATGATTATTTTAGTACTTTAGACTAGTCCTAGTCATGGACAAAAACCTAAGATGGAACAAATGTTGAAATTACTATTGACATGTCAAATTAGCTTACAATAGACCAAGATAAAGTATTAATTTCAATCTCACTGCATGCTTTGTCACTCCATTTCACCAGGATACACCACTACTGTCAAAGGTGTTCACCATGGTGTCCTTGTTATTGCCGTATCGGCGGTTAACTTCCTGCAGACTTAAAAATCCAGAATGTAAATACCTATTATAATACCTGTTATTAAATCTTAGCAATATCAGCTGTACATTTCTTAGCTATAGTATGTACATAATAATATATGGACATCTAACAGTCTGGATACATCTGATAATAATTTCATGACTTAAGAGGTCATAAAATTAAAAACCAATAGTAGAAACACAGGGTTAAAAAAAAGAGAAAAGAGATGAACAGACAGACAGGGAATTGACAGAAAGAAGCAGAAGCACCAGGTGAGTGGACTTTGTTCTGTTTTTTAATTTGGTAATGCATTTTTAGAATGGATAGATTCAGTCCCTTTCACTTTTGGACAATTAGAATTAAAGTAAGGGAGATTCAGTACTGGGTTCTGTTATTTTAGGATGCTGGGTGTTTCTCCTGTTGGCCTGTTTGGGTTTTATATAGAATTTCAGGCTACACGGTTAACATTCCGGGTTTCTGAATTTGCCTCCGAGATGAGATACCTTGTTTTGTAAATAGTGTAACTTTTATGTTGTATGTTGTGTAATATGTAGTGTTGTTTAGCTGTTGGTGCAACTGAAAATAACCATTCATTTAAAGCCTCTTTGCAATGAACTAGGAAATATTTACAACACCCAAACTGAAATTTCTGATTACACCACCTACAGTATACTGAACCATCTGGCAATACAGCATGTTCAGATGCAAAAGCTCTCACAAAATGGCCTTTACATCTTCAACTTTTTGAGTTCGCTTATTTTGTGGTACAGTATACTTTTTTAGATTAATCTCACTACCCAGCAGCTTCAGGGAAAGTACGTTCTGATATTCCAA